TAATACTCTTAAAAATTTAACTCAAAACACATAACAGATCTAAACTGTCAAATTCCTAGAAGAAAACACGGGAAAAAATCAAGGTGACCTTAAGTCTGACAATGACTTTTTAACTATAACATCAAAGGCAAGATCCATGGAAGAAACAACTGATAAGTGAACTGGATTAAAATCAAAGACTTCTGCTTTGTGAAAAATACTGTCAAAAAAGTGAGAAGACAAGCTGGGAGAAAATATTTGCAAAACACACAATTGATAAAGGACTTACTCATAATATATAAAATATTTTAAAAATCAACAAGAAAATTACCAACTCCATTAAAAAATGGGCAAAAGATCTGAACCTTACCAAAGAAGATTACAGATAGCAAACAAGCCCTTGAAATATGCTCAACGTCATATGTCGTCAATGAAACGCACAAAAAAACAAAACAAAAACACCACTATGTGCCATTAGAATGGGGAAAATCCAAAATACTGAGACCACTAAATGCTGGTATGGATGCAGAGCACCAGGAGCTCTAATTCATTGCTGGCAGGAATGCAAACTGGTGCAGCCACTTTGGAAGATAGTTGGGAAGCTTTTTATAAAATTAAACTTATTACCACGTGATCCAGCAGTCATGCTTCTTTCTCGCTGTTTATCTAAATGAGTTGGAATACATATGTCCACACAAAAACTTCCACATGAATGCAGCTTTATTCATAATCGCCAAAACATGGAAGCAACCCAAATGTCCTTCAGTGGGTGATGAATAAATAAACATGGTATATCTAAATGCTAGAATATTACTCAGTGGTAAAAAGAGATGAGCTATCAAGCCAGTGAAAACACATGGAGGAGCCTTAAATGCCTGTTACTAAGTAAAAGAAGCCAGTCTGAAAAGTACATACTGTGTGATCCCAACTATGACATTCTAGAAAAGTGAAACTAGAAGACGGTAAAACATTCAGTGGTGGCCAGGGGTTGAGGGGGTGGGCAGGGATGAATAGGCAGAGCACAGGATTTTTAGAGCAGTGAAAATACTCTGACGATACTGTAAAGGTGCATATATGTCATTATACATTTCAAACCACCAGAAGATAGAGCACCAAGAGCGAACGGTACTGTAAACAAGGACTTGGGGTGATAATGATGTATCAGGGTAGGTTCTTCAGTTCTAACAAATGTTCCAGTTTGGTGTGGGATACGGATAGTGGGGGAGGCTGTTCTTTTGTGGGGATAGGAGGTGTATAGGAACTGTTTGTATTTTCTGCTCAGTTTGTGATGAACCTAAAACAACTCTAAAAAATATCATTAGACAGAAGGAAAGGGTATCATCTGTTTTCCTTAATTGCATCTATAGGATTTATCCAATTAGAAAAGATTGTTAGGAAGACCTGGCTCAGTTAGGGTTATATTGACTGGCATCCAGACTGACCAGGGTGTATCCTTTGACTTATGTCACTGATGCAGTTATCAACTGCTTATAAACATAGATCACCATCAAAAGGGTGATTTATGTAGAGAAAGAAACTCTGAGGTCCTTTGTGTGATAGCTACACATCAAAGAGTTGGCTTCATTTGCTTTTCCATCTGTTTGAGTTTGGGTAAGTACTGGATAGAATTTTTTCGAGGAAAGACAGACTCCTGTATTTCAGGGAGGAATTTGTCCTCAGGAAGTGATGGTTTATCTGACCGCAGGCACTTGGGGGCAGGTTTCTTATCATGGACATGGAATCATCCCGATGTAGTGGTCACAGGGAAACTTGCCTAATTCTACCATTCATAGGTAGATTTTTCTGCATTTAGGTCTTTTAGAGGACAGCATAAATAAAAATAAATCTATAACAAATTCCATGCATGACCTGAAAAAATAGTAGTTCTATTTAAGTCAAGGCAGAGGACAAGGGAAGCACTTATTTTGGTTGGAATTTAATGAAAATATCTATGTAATGGAGATTTAAACTGAAATTGGAGTGGAAAGAGTACGGGGTAGGAAGTTTGTGTATGGGAATGGAAACAAAGAATGATAGTAGTGCCCAGGCTAGAAATAGTACTGGTGTGTTTGTTGGTTTGTAAAGGCATTTAAAATGTCAGTACTCAGATGGAGCCAGCCACTAACTAAGATTTAGACAAAGGAGTAATTCCTGTATTTGGTGGGATAGAGTTATTGTCCCGAGAAGTACTTCATTTTAGGTGTAACTTTGCAAGCAGAGATGATCTCTCAGAAATGGGAATCCAGATAAGAAATTGGTCACTTTCAATTTAGAGACAACAGTAGAAAAAATGGGAACAACTGAAGAAATGTGTGAGCCTGCCAGGACATGGTATAAAAGAACAGGCACTCATGTTAAGTCTTGAGATGTTCCAGTAGGGCTTAGGAATTCTTTACAGAGGACATGGGAGGACTAATTATAGAGGGGAAGTAGTTCTGAAAATGAGGTCAAAGTTTAACTCCTCTCTGTTTCCAGGTAAGGATTTATTGGAGAGACAGAGACAATCAGTGATGTTAATATGTATTTATAAAATAATCAGTGGTGGCCTTTTAAGTTAAAGGGAGAGGAGGATGTGAGCAAAGGACAACACTTTCAGTTTGATTCTGAAGGGAGGACAGAAGCGCAGCAACTGGAGAGAGAACAGGTTCAGAGGAAATTTTTGCTTTAAGTTATGAGAGGTAATGAACTTAAATGATGGGATTGATTGTGGAGAGATGGACAGGTTTTTGCGAAAGGAAATGTAATTTATAAACAGGAATACAGTTCTCAAGAAAACAGGAGAAAAAGGAATTCATTTGGAGACACTGGACACGACTTCTATTTAATGGGAGAAAAGTCAGCAATGGATATGAATGTAGCAATATTTGTAGATATTATGATGAAAAACTGAGTTAGTGTGTCACCTTAGATAATTCATCTCTCTTATAGACTGAATTTTGTGTTCCCAAAAGTCAAATGTTGAAGTCCCGACCCTCAGTGTGTATTTGGAGATTGGGCCTTAAAACTGTCAATTAAGCTACAATGAGGGCATTAGGGTCGGCCCTAATCTGGTTTAACTAGTGTCTTTGCAAGAAGAGGGAATTATGTCACAGACATGTGCAGAGGGATGGCCATGTGGAGACAGAAGATGGCTGGCTGTGAGCTAAGTTGGGTGGGGGGGGGTAGTTAGAAGAAACCAATCCTGGTGACACCAGAATTGTGAGAAAATAATTTTCTATTGTTTAAGCCCTTCAGTGAGTGCTACTGTGTTACAGCAACTTTGGCAAGCGAGCACAGTATGTGTAGTAGGCAATAATCTAGCCTTTTGAAAGGCGAGAATGTGTAGCATCAGTAGGTATGGGGAAGATTTGAAATTATGGGAGCATGGAAGAATGACTTAGAGTTGGCAGACACATTTGAAAACCCCTAGGAGTAGTAGTTCTCTTTTTAGACAGGGATCAACTTCTTAGCCATGTCTGTCAGATACAGTCACAGGAAAGGCAAGTACGTGGAATCACCTGCTGTTGAGATCTTGAAGGGGAAATGTGGTTAATAGTGGTTAATAGTGCAGGGAACATAGAAAGTGCTGGTTCTGGTAGGTGCCTGTTGAAATGAGTCGGTGTGGATTAAAGTAGGCAGGAAAAATGAAGAGGGGGAAAGCCTGATGTTTGAGAAGTGGCCAGTCCACAGAGGTTCCCATGTACAGAGAACTGAGTGTGGGGTGTAATTTCTGTGAAAAAGTAAGGAGAAGAAATTGTAATGATGGTAGGGCTACTGATTTAAGTCAGAAGTGATGCCATCTTCCAGGTAAAACCTAGGTGTGGTGTGTAATCCTTAAGGAATTTTTCATAGGAGACAGAGCAAAATTAAAATATGAATAGGTCATTTCCTAGCTGTGTAACTTTGTTACGTTATTGAAGTTTTTTGAACCTCTTTTGTTCATGTCATTTGTTAAACTGGTAAATAAAATCACCAGGTTTATTGTGAGGATTAAATAAATGAATAAATATCGAAGTGGGGTCACATTTGATACAAATTTTTTTTTTCTTTTTCTGGACCTCAGGTACAAATGGGTGAGTTAATCCTACTTTGTTTATGACACATTATCATAACTTTCCCATGAAATACATCTAATTATTGGTGTCTTAGGGGAGAGCTGACAATTTATACATGCTTTCTGTGTGTCTCACACATTCGTGTGTATAATGTAAATGTATGTACATATACATACGTGTGTGTGTAATAATGAAATGTGGGCATAGTACAGCTACTGAAGATTAACACAGAACAGGATTTCAAGGACTTCAGTTACCACTTTATTAAAATAGCCAGAGCAACTAGATTTTCTCCTGAACCACAGGCTTTCTGTATTATCTGGATGACCTTGAAATAAAGGATTTGGACAGTAAATGACAGGAACATTATGACTCATATATCCCTCCTTTCTGATGCGGGGCATTTTTAAGGACTGGACTTGCAGAATGAGTCCTTGAACTGATGAACCATCATAAAATAGACTTGCTAGGATTTCTGACATCCAAGTCCGTGGGCAGCAGACCTGAAAGTCAGAGTTGAGGGACAGCAGGAAGGGAGGATGGCTCCAGAAGGCTGCTGTGGATGCTGGGGAACCACTGCTTGGGTATGAGAATAACGAAATCTGAGAAATTCCATGTTTACCTACAGATGGAGATAAAAATCAGTATGTGGCAGGAGTCTAGGATCTCTAAGCTTTGGAATCAGGGAGGAGTTAAGTAACTCTGGATGCTGTGGGCTCATTAACATGTATAACTCAATACTTTTGATGTTCTTACTCATAAAATCTCTGTATTTGTATGTTTTTTATTAGCACCTGTAGTCCTAGTCTTTTTTTTTTTTTTTTTGTCTTCTTACTTTTGAACATGGGAGAGGAAGCGAGTCCTCTTCATTTCTTGTAGGCTGCGCTGTCTGTTGGTTAGGCTGGGGGTCCCACCCAGTCTCATGACAGGTGGGACTGGAAATCGGGCACAGGACTGGGATTTCATGGCTTCATTCTCCATCCTCAGCTTTGCCTGCTTAGTGCTTGGACTGTCTGAGAGCGAGAACCCGAGAAAGACACCTGGCAACTGAGTTAGTGACAATGCAGCCACTGGTGAGTAGGGAAGCCCCTTTCTGCCGAAAGAACACCCTAGGGCCATCAGATGGGCGAATTTTATTGGCTTAAATGTTCACTTGCAGTTGGGAAATCCTCAGGGATCTGAGCTCCAGTGAAATTTCCCCAGGACTCTAGGATAGTTACAATGATTCAGAAACTCAGTAACTAGTAACATAGTGTCACACTAGTTATCCCAGCCTCCATTAAGCTTGTGTATTTACAGAAATGAAGAAAGAAGTTTGCTTTCTCTAACTCAGTCCACATCCTTATTGGGAAATAATCCACCCATTGATCATAGTGTTGGCTCTAAAGATCCTTTCATAAAGGGTTGTGGTTGAAGAGATGAGCAGGAAGGAGACCACTGTGGTCCGATCGGGAGGTGCTTTCCACGAGTCCAGTGTTTCAGGTGCTGGGTGAGGGCTGTGGAGTGCTAAAGGGGGCACAAGAGAAGTTGAGGCCACAAAGGGCATGAGGAATCATTCATATTTTTCCAATTTTAACGTTTCAAGAGAATATATTTGCACTTTTGGAAACTTCTTAAAAAGATAACTAAATTTTCATTATCATTCTTGCCCCGTTCACATATTTTACCTTTTTATAATTAACCTTTTTCATATTTGATAACTGCACTTAGTGTATAGGGAGTATTAACTCCATAACTGTGGCTATATATTCAGGAGAAGGGCGTATAGTAGAGTAAAATTTAAGATCTTGCAGAAACTTTTTAAAAACTACATAAAGCAAAACCATTCAACAGGCTTCTGTTCTCCTTTAGCAGAGGGACAAGACAGGAGACTGGTGTTGAAGGTCCAGAGAAAATTAGGAGTCCTCATGACACAGGAATGGTCAGGCTAGGACTGCCCTTCAGTACAGCTGTCTCAGAGGTTCCTGGCTTGTGCTGCTGAACCTTCTGTTCTGACCTTACACCTTATTATGAACACCTGAGCCTGCAGAGTGGAGCAAGACTACACTGGGTATATCAAGCTCTCCATGAAACATGTTCATTTCTGAAGAATGCTAGAGATGGTTTCAAGGTTCTTGGATATTTTAATGACTAATGACTTGTATTTAATACATGTTTACTTAGGAAGAACTTCATACATTAGTTCATTGGGTCTTTCAATACTCCTAACAGGTCATTAAAGGTTCATCTGTGGGAATAGTGTCATGGTTTTAAAGTGGCAAGTCATGGTTATTGTTTGCCTTATACTGAGTCTGTAAAGTTACTTGAAGTTAATTAGAAAGTTTTAGTTATGAATTTTCAGGTGCCAGTTTTATAATCCTATGTCTGATATAATTACCAGTTTTTGTTTTAGACTTTATGTGTTTATTTTAATAAGTAGGCTCTACACCCAACCTGGGACCTGAGCTCATGACCCAGAGATCAAGAGTTGCAAGCTCTACTGAATGATCCAGCCAGGTGCCCCCATAATTACCAGTTGCTTTAAAAAAAAAAAAAAATCCAGGCTATGTAATATCACACTTCATGTGATATTCCTTTACAGTAAAGTTTTATTAATTCAGATTATACCTCTGTAATATATCTGAAAGGCACATGCCAGTTCTGCACCGAGAATGAACGACAGGAACCCTAGACTTAGTTTGAGCTTTCTACACACCCAGCTCCTCCACCCTCTTCCTCAGTGCCGTCATCGCAACCCTCCTGCTCTGGACGCCAGTAGGGAATGCTCTGTCTAAAACAGAATATCCGTGATGTTTTAGGAATCAGTGACATTTGAAGATGTAGCTATAGACTTCACCAAGGAAGAGTGGGACCTGCTGGACATATCCCAGCGAAAGCTGTTCAGGGATGTCATGCTGGAAAATATACGTCACCTTGTCTCCCTGGGTGAGTCTGCCAACGCCTACACTTATATAGATGGGTGGGTGGGAAGGTAGTTGGTCAGTCAGCAAGTAACTGGAACAGCTTCTGCATACCCGCATACCTACTCCACTCTCTACCCTGAATCTTTCATAGACCTTACTTGAAAGAAAGTTGTTTCTTTATATTTTACTACATTTAGTGTGTCACACCACTAGAATATACTTTTGACCACAGTGTAATGTCTTTGTTACTACTCAGTCTCTAACAACCTGAGCAGAACTGGGAATTCAGTATTTCTGAATGCATAAACAAATTATTTAAACATTTTCTAAATAATTATTCTCCCATAGTCATTATTTCAAGGGTTGAAACTAGACCAATGACAGAAATAGAACTTTGATTTCTCTTGTTGAGCTTACTTGGTGTCTTTTTGAAAGTAATATTCAACCCACTGTGGAGACATTTAATTTCTCCATTTCTGAAAAGACTGAGGATTCTGCATTCTGTCTTTAAATTTGGGCATGGACACCACCGTCCAGAAGGTCTTCACTATTTTCGACACATATTTGGATTTGTGCTTTTTTCCATTCAAGTTCTTGTTGTGTTCTCCTTATTCTTCCTCAGTTGCCTGTCCTGGACTTAATGATGATTAGCCTTGGGGAAGGAGAGGACTTTTAGTAGTACAGAATTCAAAATCCACGTACCTTTTTTCAATGAACAGGATATCAGCATTGCAAATCAGATTTGATTTTCCAGTTGGAGCAAGGACAAGAGCTGTGGAGTGAAGGAACTAGATTTCTTCAAGGTCAGAGCCCAGGTGAGCTGCAGGGACCTGTGCTTCAGTATGAGGAGGTGCCTACTCACTGTATGTTATTGGAAATACCAACTGAAGATTTTGTCAAGTGAGTGATTTTCTAAAATGTGGAGAAGAACACTGGGGCAAAATTCTTCAAATGTTGTCATTATTCCTTACATTTGTCGATCACAATTCATGTTTTCTCTTGCCGGTGTTTCTTTTGACTTTGGGGAAAGCATATTCATATACTTAAATGAAGTTAAACTTTTACAGTAACTCCTACCCTAATATTCCCCTTTGAAGGTTTCTCTTCTCTTTCCCTACCCAATCTGCCTTCATTAGAATTTTTTCATAATTCAATTCTGAAAATCTTTGAGAATTAGTATTCCTAGAGTATTCCTTCATTTGACATATTTGCCCCATCAAAGTGCCAGTTTTTGAAACATACTCACATGGATCTTGGTGCTTTTCAACATTTTCATTACCCTACTGCCATTCTGACTATTTGTTTTGTCTTCAATTATTTTAGGCAGGGGAAATGCCTTTAAGGAGCAAGAAATGATAGCCACACAACGTATCAGCAGGAAGGACACATCTGCAATCATGCCAGTGGTAAGTTTCCTGAGTAGTAACCCTGGTCATCCAAATGAAAGACCTAGAAATAGGATGTTAATAATTGAGCACAATAGCCTAATTCATATTAAGTTGGGATTAAACTTTTTTTTTTTTTTTGAGCAAAAAGTTTTGGCTAGTTTGAATTTAGTGAAGAAATTAATCTGAGCCCCCAAACCATAACATGAGATCGTAAAAAAAAAAAGACAACTGCATAAACACTGATAGTATGCCCAGTCTTTGAAACATAATCTATAAGCTCTGTAGTTGGGATGCTACAAAAGAAAAAATCTTTATGTAGACAGGGGGGTAACAAACACATTGTGTGTATGCAAGTAACACTGGCAAGATTTTAACTGGAGACTATCACTGAGTGGTTAATTTAGGATTTCTATGTAGAAAAGTGAATGTATGGATATGTAGGCCAACTTTAACAACCTTTCATCTCTTTCCCAAAAGCAGGAATCTCATACTCCAGAGGATCCCTTTGAATATAAAGATTTGGAAGAAGATTTCACTCATGGCTTCATGTTGACTCAACATTTGTTAACTCACACAGAAAAGACACCTTGTATCAGTAAACAGTGTCCAAAATCCCTTAGTGACCAGTCATACCTTAATCAACATAAGCAAATTCACACCAGAGGTAAATCATGTGAGTGCCATCTGTGTGGAAAAGCCTTTAGTAATTGCTCAAGCCTTAGGAGACATGAGATGACTCACACTGGAGAGAAACCATATGAATGCCATATCTGTGGGAATGCCTTTATTCAAAGCTCAGACCTTAGAAAACACAATCTAACTCACACTGGAGAGAAACCATATGAATGTCATCTATGTGGGAAAGCCTTCAGTCAGTCCTCCAACCTCAGACAGCATGAGAGAACACACACTGGAGAGCAGCCATATGAGTGTCACCTGTGTGGGAAAGCCTTCAGTAAATGTTCTGCCCTCAGACGACATGAAAGAACTCACACTGGAGAAAAACCATATGAATGTCATCTTTGTGGGAAATCCTTCAGTCAGTGTTCTGCTCTTAGACGACACGAGGGAACCCACAATGGAGAGAAAATTATGAATGCCTTCAGTAAATATTCTGACCTTAGATAACATCGTATTATAAATGTAATGAATGTGGGTGAGACTTCAACCATAGCATTAACATTTAAACACACCTCTAGAGGACTTGCACATTGAAGAAACTGTAATCAATGTAGAAGATCCCTCAGTCATTCTTCCTCATTTGACATACACCAGCTTAAATGGAAGAAATCCCTGTGTGTGACAACTGTGCAGCAGAACCACGAAAGATGTAAGAGAACTCACTCTGTAAATATAAGGAATGGAGAGGTCTTAAGCAACAGCTCTCAACCTGAAACACACTGTTGGGCCTGCACAAGGGAGCACCCCTAGCTCTGTGAGCACTGTGAACGGCACGCAGCCAGGCACCAGGTGTGGTGCACACAAGAAAACTCCGTGAAGTCTGAATAAACACTAACACAAGATGTAAGAGGATGAATGCTCTTGAGGAATAACAGTGCATATTGCAGTGAGAAATGAGAGACCCTTTGTTCACAGAGAGGCATTTGGGGCATGTGTGAAGATTCGGACTGTATACAGCACTCAGTGTCCGTGATCACTCACTTCTCAGCCAACATTAAGCTTCTTACCTGAGGAGATAGCAGTCAGGAAACCACAGTGGCAGGAACTTGAGGCAGATTTCGTATCAGGAAACTAAGTCTAGGGAAAAACCTCTAAAATTAGAGCCTTTAACATACAATGTAACCAGTAATTCAGGGTTTTGAGAAAAATATTCATGGGGAAAATATGGCATATAAATACAAAAAGGTAAAGTTGGTTTAAGCATATTGAATACAGAATTTTCTAAAACGTAAAACTTTTTCAATACATTTCCTGTAAATATTTAATTAATAAACCTTGTTGCTGAAAAATCTGTTGTTGAGGTTCTGATTTTCTCTACGCAGTTGTAAACACATGGGTTTGAGCCTACACTCCTTGGTAAGTAGATTAGAGACTGAACAAGACAGTCTCCTCTTCCTCTAACAGCTCCTTCCACAGAGATCAGCTCCACTGTTCCAACTTCCCACCATCAGCTAGCTCCTTCTGCACCTGGTGGTGGCATAGCAGGGACCTTCACCCCAACTGACAACTTACTCATTGTGCTGTGAGCCTGGTATTAGAACCACTCCTTCTAGTAGAACCACACCTTCTAGTAGAACCACAAGCATAGTATCCCAGATACTAGTGTAAACCATGAGGCTGCTCCAGCCCTCCTATGCCCCTGGGAAACTCGGTCTTTCCAGACCAAGAACATTCCTTAGAGTTTTTCCACGAAGCTTCTTTGAGGACAGGAGTTCATCCAATGACCACATCTTAGATCTCACTTACTCAAGTGAGTCCTGAATTATGTGCCTTCCTGTTCCCCGAACAGAGCCACTGCTATGTACCCCCACAATAGTCCTGCAAAGAAAACTCAAGAATGATAAAATCCCCTATCAGACATCACATTAAGCCCTTATAATTAACTTAATCTATTCTTCTCCAAACAAAATAATTCTCACAAAGGCAGTCTCCCTGGCTTTGGTCCCAGGGCTTGGAAATGGATTGCCCTTCAACAAACCCCAATACTGGACCTAAATCACAAAGGGAGATGTTCTTTAGAGACAACCCAGCTGATCTGTTCTCTTCCCAAGCTGACACAGTCCATAATCTTAGCCTGAGACCAATTAAATGAGCACATCTCTGGATAGAACTGATAGATCATTAAAAAAATATATCCACAAGTGATTCTGCTGTGTAGCCAGGGTGAGTCAAGTCATAGGTGAGGACAACGAGCAATCAATTCCAGCATCTTGGCACCTTCGCTGGAGAGGCAGGGTCCATGATCAGGTGGGCACACGGAGGTGTGAACAAGGGTTGAAGGGAACAAAAGAGGGATCAGAAGTTCAGACTCAGGGGGCACCTGGGTGACTCAGTGGGTTAAGCCTCTGCCTTTGGCTCAGGTCATGATCAGGGTCCTGGGATTGAGTCCTGCATCGGGCTCTCTGCTCAGCAGGGAGCCTGCTTACCCCCATCTCTCTCTACCTGCTGCTCTGCCTACTTGTGATCTCTCTCTCTCTCAGTCAAGTAAATAAATAAAATCTTAAAAAAAAAATTCAGACCCTGGAGACAAACATGGGTTGTAATTTCCACCATTACAGCCAATTAGATCTTGTTACTGAAACTTTCCAACTCATTTCCTCAATTCTAAAACGTAAATACACTTAGTCCCTACATCTTAAGAATTGCTGTGAAAACTTAAAAAAAAAAAAACAAAAACGGTGCTGTGAAAACTAATGAGTTGGTACTGCATACACCAAGTTGTTATTACACATAACAGGTACTTTGTTTTTGCAAATATTTTACAAATTAACTTGAAATGTGAATATACCACTCTGCCTTATTATATTTGATCTGCTTACAACAGTATGTAGTTTAGTTATAGTTGTTTAGCTATAGTTGTTTTTAAGTGTAATCCTGGGGCTCAACTAAATTTTGAGAACTATCTGGTGGCTCAGCCAGGACTCACCCACCCTTTGTCCCAGTATGTCTCCAACAAGGGAGGAACTGGTCCTGGGCCTGCTGGGGGTGGGGCCTGTGCTAGTGTTGGGACCCCTAAGATCGATGCGCACACACCCTTCTCAGAGGAGGCCATGTCGTAGCGGGTTTTATCTTCACTGACCTAGGGCTGTAAGTGCATTGAGCAGCTGTACTAAGATCAAGGGACTTCATGGCAGATAAAATTTAGAGGACTACGAGGTGACAGACCCACACAACTAGCTTTGAGTGACACACGGACAGCTTGCTGTAAAGGGAAGTCCCATACAAGTTCACTCCGTCCAGAGGCAACATTGTGGGGCCCCCCATCCAGAAGGGGAGGATGGAAAGGGAGTTCCTGGGGGGAAGGGGCTTCACCGTTCAGATGGAAGCGTTAGTCACAGATGGGGAGTCTCTGGATCAGAACTACGGGGGACGGTGGCGGCTAGCAGCAGCTTAGAGATTTGTACAGTCCACAGTTTACCTTTATGGCTAGCAGATAATGGGTACGATGCCACAGTATGCACAAAATGTAAGCTCTGTATGGTTAAAAATCTGCTAATTTCAGCTGTTTAAAACAATTCAGTGTAAAAATGTGAGTTTGGCACTGGTGGACTTAAAGCTCATGGGCCTGGTCTGCTGTGAAGATGTAAAATCTTTGGATCATTTATAAAGTACTTGATAATTTCAATAGATTTTTCTTCCTACTCACCATACACTGCTTTTTTGCCTGCTCAAATCCAATGTTGCAACCTTTTATTTCTCATTTCGGTTGCACTTTTCAGCTTCAGAATTTCTATTTGATTCCATTTTATAATTTCTATCTCTTTACCGAAGCTCTCCATTTAGTGAAACATTGTTTTCTTCAGTTCTTTGAGCATCACTGAACTGCTTAGTTTAAAACCTTTGTCTAGGAAGTCCAAGGTCAGTGCTTCTCAGGGACCACGTCTGTTCAATTTTCTTTTCCCGTGAGTGGGGTGTGAAGAAGTGTTTCTTCTTTCTTTATATGGCTCAATTTTTTTTGTTGAGTACTGGATATCTTAAATATTATAATGTATCTCTGGAAATCAGATTCTCCTGCCTTCTCCACATCTGTTGCTGCTATGTTATGAGGGTTATACTTGTTTAATGACTTTTCTCAACTTTTTTTTTTTTTAAAGATTTTATTTATTTCTTTGACAGAGACAGATCACAAGTAGGCAGAGAGGCAGGCAGAGAGAGAGGGGGAAGCAGAGCAGAGAGCAGAGCTGAGCAGAGAGCCTGATATGGACCCTGGGATCGTGACCTGAGCCGAAGGCAGAGGCTTTAACCCTCTGAGCCACCCAGGAGCCCCTCTCAACTTTTTGTAACAACTCTTTGTTGCATGTGGCCCTGAAGTCTGCTCTTTTAGCTTGGTGATCCCCTTGTGATTTGAGAGAGAGCTCCTGCAGTGCCTGGAGCCAGAGCAATCCTCTGCAGTCGCTGCAGACTGGCCCCTGCTGGCACTCTGCTCTAAGGCTTAGGCAAGGAGTTAACACCGTCTTCCCTTCACTGGCTGTTGCTCTAGTGCTGAAGGCGAACTCACATGGTGCTCTCCAGTGTTTTCATGTCCAGCCGTGGGCATCAGCATGGCCTTCTGACTGCCCAGCACACAGCACATTTTCAGTGCCCTTCGTCCCTCAGTTATGTCCCAGCATCTTCATTCTCAGGCTTTTTGGTCTGCCTGCCTGACTCTGGCCTCTCTGGTTGATCTTCCCCAGACAGAAGCTACTAGTTTATTTCACTGAAATGCTCTTGACACTGCCACCCAGGGGGCCCTTCAGCCCCTTTCTAGAAAGTTCTGAGAAAGTTGAAACAAAGGAAAACTCCTGTCTGTCCGTCTTAGAGTCCTCAAAGAGGTCAGAACACACAAACACAATTCTCTGAGAACATTTGTGTTACGCTGCACCAGGAATGTGGGCCCACAGAGCTGGGCAGTGTGGCATGGTAGGTGGGTAAGCTAAAACACCACAATGCTGTTTACTGAAATTAAACTTTTTTTCTTCTTTAAGTATTCCCCAATTATCTAAACTATCAATAGCTCATTCTCCAGCTTACTTTTGCAATTTTTGTTTTTCTAGTTCAGTTATTTCTCCTGTCGTTTCAAGATTTTGACTTACTTATGCTCTCTAAAAAATCTTACTAAAAATAGGTAAATATGTTGTTGCATCCAAACAAATTCTGGACAATTTTTCCTGAAACATTCATTTTCATTTTATTACTACCTGAAGCACCCAACTGTTTTGTTTTTCACGGTTATAAACTTTGGTTTTAGTTATATATTCACCTACTGAAGAACATCTTGGTTCCTTCCAGTTTGGGGCCATCATGATAAAGCTGATATAAATATTTGTGTGCTGCTTTTGGTGTGGGCATAAGTTTTTGGTCCAGATGGGTAATATCCAGAAGTACGATTATTATGGGTACAATGAGACTATGTTTGCATTTTAAGAAACTGCCAGACTGCCTTCTAGAGTGTCTGTGCCATATTCATCCCTATTAGAGGTCCTTGTGGTTCTCCATGCTAATTAGCAAAATGTTTTGCCAATTTTTCTAAATTTTAGTCCCATCCTAATGTGTAGTATTAAGCGGTGTCTCATGTAATTTGCTTTTCCCTAATAGCAAGTGATGCTGAGGATCTTTTTGTATGTTAATCTGCTATCTTCTGTGTCTCTCTTCAGATTGTTACCCATTTTTACATTTTTTAAAAATTCGTTAGGTTTTATGAGTCCTTACCATATTTTCTACACAAATATTTTTTCTGATATATCTTCTGCAAGGATCCCCGTCTGCAGAAGTCTTTTTATTCTCTTAGCAGTATCTTCTGCAGAGTCACGTTTTAATTGCGATGGAATTCACCATATCAATTTTTCTTTCATGGATTTTGCTCTTGGTCGTATATACAAAACTTACCTCTACACCCAAATTCAAGAAGATACTTTCTTACTTTTTTTTCTAGAATTTTTAAAGCTTTGATGGGGGCAAGATGGCGGAGGGGTAGGGGACCCTATTTCAACGGGTCCTCTGAATTGAGCTGCCTATCTACCAGACCACTCCAACAGCCACAAAATTAGCCTGAGATGTAAGAAGATATATCCAGATCTCTACAAATAGAATTTTTAAAGTTTTGCATTTTACTTTTGAATTTATGAAAATAAGTTCTGGTGTGTGGTGAAATCTGTGTGTTCAATTTTCCACATGGTCAAACAGTCCTTGTGCTCATTACTGATCAGACTATCCTCCACTGCACTGCCTCTGCTCCGATGGCAAAATTCAGCTATTTGAGTGGGTCTATTTTTCAGACCCTTAATTCTGCCCCATTTACCTCT